CCCCAAAACCCCAAAACCCCAAAACCCCAAAACCCCAAAACCCCAAATCCTCAAAGTTTTATTGAAATTAGATAAATTCACTTGAAATATTTAAAATTTCTGAAGATGTCCAGTCTCCAACAAGAAAGTATAATTGGATGAATAACTCAAACCATAGAAGAAACACCCAGAGATGAGGAAACCAAGACTCTAAATCAGCAAGAAAATATTGATGAAGGCAATCTCAGCTGCTTGAACAACACCGACGATGAAGAACTCTTTGAAGAGTTTAATAAAATGGAAGCCGAGAAGGTAACATTAACCATCTACAATATCTAACTAAATTAGGAAGAACTACTGCTTAAAGCTCAAGAAGAGGAGAAATCTTCATTTAAAAGGAAAAATAAAGGGAAGAAGTGATTCAAAATTTCAAAGATTAGATCAAAGAAATCCTTCAACAGAAGTAGAGCAGCCTCAAAGAGAGTAAATTATACCTTAAAATATTAGGGTAAAACTACTAGGCAAGGAGGAAAAAGCAAAAGGAAACTCATTGTGAATAAGTTAACTGTAAATGTCTCTAATACAAGGTATAAAATTGTCAGATATGTGGCTAAATAAAATATTTGGCTACAGACTCAGCAGAAGTGATAATAATACATGGGATATCTGTTGGATCGATGCAGGCATTTCTCATGAAAGATTACTTAAAATGAAACCTTTTCAAAGAATCAATCACTTCCCTGGTATGTATGCTATAGCTAGGAAAAATTTATTAGCTAGGAATTTGATGAAAATGCAAACGAAATTTCCTAACGAATATGATTTCTTCCCTAAAACATGGTCATTACCTGCTGAAATGTGAGACTTCAAACTCCAATTTTCCACTGGCAATAATAAAAAGAAAGTAAACAACCCTATCTTTATTTGTAAGCCTGAAGCTGCTTGACAAGGTCGAGGAATCTTTCTAATGAACACCTTGTCTAAACTCCCCACAAAGGACAACTACATTGCCCAAAAATACATCTCAAAGCCATATCTAATCAATGACCTCAAATTTGATCTGCGTCTTTACGTACTTATCTCTGGAGTCGATCCCTTGCGTATTTACCTCTACAAGGATGGTCTTGCGAGATTCGCCACTGAAAAGTACAAATAAGCCAAATACCAAGAATTTTAAATAACAGCTATATTCATTTAACTAATTATGCTATCAACAAGAATAGCTCTAAATATCAGAGCGCAACTGGAGCAGATGACGAAGGCCATAAGAGAAGCTACAGGTCCATCATCGGTAAGCCTTAGGCTCTTTATTGATGTCCAGAGTAATTTTATGTAGAATTTTTAAGACAACAAGGTGAGAATGTTGAAAAACTTGAGGAAGAAATCGAAGAAGTCATTATTAAAACGCTTTGTTGTATCCAACCCTCACTTGCACATACCTACAAGTCTTGACAACCTGAGGATGTAGAGAATTCTATGTGCTTTGAAATTCTTGGGTTTGATATCCTGATAGACAATAAACTCAAACCATGGGTGTTAGAAATCAACATTAGTCCGAGCTTCCACGTCGACACCTCTCTTGATTACATTATCAAATAAAGGAGTTATTGAAGAAAGCATCAGACTTCTCAACTTAAGCCAGGCAAGAAAACTTCGGATCAAAAAGAAAGAGAAATCAGACTTTCAGCAAAGAGTAATCTCAGGAAAACCTCAAAGGAAGACTCAGGAGGAGAAGATAATCATTAAGCAAGATTTCAACTCAAAACGTAATGATAAGGTAATCTTAAACATGAACTTTTAGGAACAAAAAGTAGTTCAAAATTTCAAATTAATTTACCCTAATTTTGATATGGAAATTTATGAAAATTTCATGAGCACTGCCAAGCTCATCTGGGAAGAGTTCACTGGAAGCAGCAATAAAGTCAATAAAATAGAAAAATAAGAAGCCAACTAAGTTTGAAACCAATGAGGTCAAGCCTCCAAAAGTTGTAGTCAGTAAGAAAATGCTCTTATAAATAGTGCAGAAAGTAAATAATAAAACCGTATTGAAACCCAAAAGAAGAAGGCCAGCTAGTGCTTATGCTAGGAGGAAAGATAGCCAACAACTCGGTATGTGAGTTCTAAACAAATAGTGAAATCTATGAAAGAAACTCATAATTATTCAAGAGCCCAGGATGACACAGAAATTATTAAGAAGGAAAGGATTACCTACCAGCCTTCAATTGTAAATTTAATGCCATTAGGAAGGAGCTCTAGGGTGGTTATATCGACACCTTTTACTGGAGCTCATCATTTAAAGAATAATTCATCTCATTTTGGAGATTTTCGGCCAAATCACTTTATGCTCAATAATCCAATGAGAGAAAGTACAAAGAAAAGGAAGAATATAAAATACTCAAGAAGAGGAAAGCCTTTAACTCTAAATGCTAACAAAATCAACCATTCACGTCCTCCCAGTGCAAAGATTTCTTCTACTAAGCAAACTTTTGGCCGGTACCAAAGAGTCAAGAGAGAAAATTCCTTTACTAAGAATATATCTAAAGAAGTGAAGAAAAGATCAAATTCAAATAAGTTCTCCTGAGCATCTCTTAAAAAGAATAACCGTAGAGAAATGCCAATTTCCATAGTCACTATTCAAGACAATTCCATCAACAAAGAATCTCTGAGACAACAAGAAGATAAGCCCGATTCAGAATATAGTGAGTCGCATGTAGTTCCCCACAACTATGAGCCATTTATGAGTTTTGATGCAACCCAGAAAATGCTTTGAAAGACGAGAAAAAGTGGTTTTTCTCAGCCAATTCTCAATACCCAAGCTATTACTCAACATGGGGCAGTTAAAGCTGTTAATATATTCAACACATTACACAAGAACCCACTTGAGACAATGGAATTTACCCAAGAGAGCCCAATGTCTCATCGAGACTTTGTAGGAAACAGGCAAAAGAAGATATAATTCTTTCTAAATTCAATGATTTCTAAGCAATTTGGGGTTTTGGGGTTTTGGGGTTTTGGGGTTTTGGGG